TCTCCAGTCTCTCCGTTTCATCCATCTCCATACTGATAGTCTCCATTTAAAAACGTTGAGAGGTTCTATGCACAGTTGGCGATTCTGTATAAAGTAAAGTAACACAGAACTACAGCATTTGTTTAATCTCACCTGGTTAGAGTTAAAGGAGGGATCACAACACAACATGAGACAGGTCTTTTTTTGGTTTTTTAGTAGAGGTTTTACGGTGCTCGCAACTGCATAAGGTCATATGAGCGCCTGAGAGAGATCTTTATTACGGCTGTAGTGCGCCAACTTTGCAGAGTTTCGATGATTTCAAGGAATGGCACGCCAAAGTAACACGTTGGTTCATGACAAGAGTCTACACTGAACACGGATAATACATGTAACAACTGCATTATTTATATATATACAGCACACATCCACGGTCAACCCCATGCTCCACTGCACTTCACAACAGTCAGTACCCACGCAGACCCTACAACAGTCAGTACCCACGCAGACACTAGAACACTCAGAAACATTCTCGGCTTCTCAGGAAAAATATAGTGCAAGTAACTGATTTTTTGTTGTAGTAAGGTTTTACGGCGCTCACAACTGCACAAGGTCATATGAGCGCCAAGGGGAGGATGTCAACAGAGAAGTCCAAACGGGGAATCAGGCTTACTCTGCTCACCTCTCTAGCCTCAACAGCACAAAGTCTGCTTCGGTGGGCTCTCGTGGCCTAGAGGTTAAGGTGTTGGCCTCTCATTCAAAGGTCCCGGGTTCGAATCCGGGAAGCGACCAAAAAATTTTCTTCTCTAAAATTGTCTCCTTTCACCTCCTTTCCTGCTCTCTTGCAATGTTCTGTTGTCTGCTTTCATTTCCACTTTCTGCCCCCACCCCCTCACCTCCTTTGCCCCCTCCTCTGGGCTCCTGACTCTTTCTGCAGCCTTTCTACCGCTACTCCTTGGCTCCTCCTTACTGCTGTCTTTCTGCCACACCCCTGATCTTCTGGTAGGAAAGATCTACACCTAGCCTTCTCGGACAAGGGCGAAAACTCTCGGAGGGCCCGTGTGCAAGTTGCGCACGTTAAAGATCCCTTGGTGGTCTAAAATCGATAAGAGTAGGCTTCGGCCGCCACCCGGGCAAAATTCAAAATTTCCTACCAACGAAAAAGTATTAGGTGTGTCCCGCGCGCTCATATGACCTTATGCAGTTGCGAGCGCCGTAAAACCCTATACTAAACAAACAAACAACAAAGTCTGCTTCGACTATCAAGGCACCCCGGAAAGAGCAGTTCACAAGAGAGTGACAAACATACAAAAGAAGTAGTGGAAAAATGACGATAGCAAGGATGAGGAAAGAAAAAGCAGCAGTTCCCCCTATGTTGTTCCGGCACAGTATGAGTATGACATTGATAAATCAGCCCATTTACAATTCGACTGAGTATTTTAAAAATGTTAATATCCCCCCTTTGGGAATGGCCTAAAGACACTTCAGTCAGTGACACTGCCCTGTGTGTGTGTGGGGGGGGGGAGGAAGTAGCAGATGGAGCGCTCAAACACTCCCAAACTGTCCAGATATTTCGCTGCTTATGTCCGGGGTGAAGTGAGGTAAATTCCTGTAAACTGCTTTTCCCATGGACACAACGTTTGGCTCCTTGACGGGATTTGAACCCTCGAACTTATGGTTGCGAGTCTCACTGATGTGCTATCGAAGCTTATACACAGTCATACTTCTCTGTAGGAGATATACACAGTCACACTTCTCTGTAGGAGATATACACAGTCACACTTCTCTGTAGGAGATATACACCGTCTCACTTCGCTGTACGAGATTCACAGTCACACTTCGCTGTATGAGATTCACACAGGCAGATCAACAAATATAAAAGTTTAGGGGAAAAAGGAAGAAACTTTAGCTGCTTTGAATTCAATTAAATGCATTTGAAGAAAAACAAGTAATTCTAACGGATTGTCAAAAGCTTGTTGAAGCAATCCATTACAACAGGATCTCACTTCACAATCACATGGGCGCAATTCATTACATCAGGATCTCACTTCACAATCACATGGGAGCAATTAATTACAACAGGATCTCACTTCACAATCACATGGGAGCAATTAATTACAACAGGATCTCACTTCACAATCACATGGGAGTAATTAATTACAACAGGATCTCACTTCACAATCACATGGGAGTAATTCATTACAACAGGATCTCATTTAACATGGGAGCAAAATGCACAAAAATTGTAGGAATTCATACACGTGTGAAACAGATCCAAAAAGATTTTTTTTTAAACAACTTGATTTTACACACAAGTAACACATTACATCGTGCTGAGACCAAACAACAGATTTTCTCCCCAGCCCCACTCCCCCCAAAAAACAACCAAAAAACGTATATATATATATAACACATAGTATAAAACAGATGGCTCGAATTCATCGGGACCGGCCTCGGTAGTTTGAGGGATCCGTAAATCCAGGAATATCTTACAAGGATAAAGAAAAAAGAAAAACAGGACCGCAGCCACAATTCGACGGAAGCGTGATGTCGAGTCTTCAGTGTTCGACCTATCAGCGTATATAAATACATGTACGAGTACGGTACCTAAAACATGAATCAGAAAATCAGTTTAAAAAAATAATTTTAAGTGACATTTCACAGTTACTAGCAACAGTTCTCTGAGTATTACTTTTCTTTGTAAGTTCAACCATTTCGCACAACTGTTGATCACAATGAACCAGACCGACACACACACATACACACACATACACACACACACACACACACACACACACACACACAGACACACACACACACAGAGACACACACACACAGAGACACACACACACACTCACACACACACTCACACACACACACACACACACACACACACACACACACAAACACACACACACACACACACAGACACACACACATAAGTTTTTTCAGGTTACAAAAGCTAAGGTACAACATCCCACTCCCCATAAAACCGAGCCACAAAGCTAAAAGCTATCACAGACACTACAAAGGCACCAACAATCTCAAGGGAAAAATTGGTTGAAAAACATCACAAGATCTCGCGACCTCAGTGCTTTCTTGTCTTATCTCCATTTTTTTAAACATTGAAAATGTGACTTCTTCTTTAGCTCACTCTTTGTTACAAACTGTTTTCACAGTTATTAAATATGGAGACAGGACAAGAAAGCACTGAGGTTGCGACCTGTTCACACCTCAAATATATTTATATCGATATGCCCTAACATACAAATGCAAACCTGACTGAACATAGCAATAGTCACACAGGCAAACTACTAATGAATCAATGAAGATAGGGCAGGGGCCTACTGTATACTATTTTAAAAACATCTTTAAAATTTCTATCCTAGTAATAAATCAACGTCAAGCAACTAAAAGCCCAGGCTAAAAATTGAAATGTAATTTTAGCAACACCAAATCTATTCTAAGAATTATCACAAGCGTTCATGCCTCAGGAACACAAGACATGTACCATTTGTGTCTCCACGCGGTGGAATCAGGCGCTTATCTATATTTGGGCATGTGGAGTTATTGGTATCACCTGAAAGCTGATTTATTTGACTGGCTTCAAATGAAATAAATATCTATTTATCTTGAAAAGTACTCAAGATGTTTGCGATTGAACAAAGTGGAGAAGTCCGTTCTGGTACGCCGCTCTGGACACGTTACCACCCACTCTATCAGAACCATGTGGTCACTTTACATATTGTCTGCACTGCTCAAAGCAAATGTTGGAAGTTCCCGTCAGCGTGAGATTTCGATCATGTTTAGGAGGCGGGGGGCACGGTGACCCTTTAGTTTTAGTTTTAGTAGAGGTTTTACGGCGCTCGCAACTGCATAAGGTCATGAGCGCCAGAAGATTAGAGGTGTTACAAGAGAGAAACAAACACAAAAAAGAAGAAGGGGAGATAAGGTCGATAGATGTTTGATAGGAAAGAAGAAGCAAACCACACCAGAGCACCCGCCAACCACCCACGAGGTGACCCTGCCGGTGATGCCTGCCCAAGCTGTGTGAGATACAACATGTGGGCAGGAAAACTTTGACACTCAACGAAGTTCCTGCTTCAATCAGGAAAACAGTGACGCTCAATACAATTCCTGCTTCAATCAGGAAAACAGTGACGCTCGGTACAATTCCTGCTTCAATCAGGAAAACATTGACGCTCGGTACAATACCTGCTTCAATCAGGAAAACATTGACGCTCGGTACAATACCTGCTTCATCAGGGGAAAATATTAAGACTCAACACAATTTCTTCTTCAATTAGAAAAACGATGATGCTCAACGAAGTTCCTGCTTCAATCAGGAAATTGTTGAGACTCAACACAATTTCTTATAAGGAAAATATTGAGACTCAACACAATTTCTGCCTCAATAAAATTCCTTCCTCCATCAGGTAATCCAACTCCCTTCTTTAGCATGACAGAGGCTACTCTAACTCTCGATCAAATCATCAGCTACCAAATGGATGACAGCAGCAAACAACAAACATCTCACAAAACAAAAGATTCTTTGACAAAGATTCCGGGCTGAAATTCCTTGACACTGAGGGCGTTCAACGTACATTCCTTGACAAAATGTTAGTCTGCCAAATCTCTTGGGCAAGAACTATTTGTACAGTTAAGAACTACCACTTTGCAGTCACACAGCCAGCAGTACAAAATAGCCCATCTGGTCACCAAGCCAGGAGAGTGACTGCAATTGCATTGGAATTCTCGGGCCTGATGCAGAACTGCGTCAGGTGACCGGAACGGATAATTTTCACCGACACCAAGTGACCCCAAAGTGTTAATAAGCAAAAAAAGGTGTCGACTTTCTTAACTCTTTAAGCCCTGAGTTTTTTCCACGTTTCCCGGAATTTTTTTCAAGTCACTTAAACGTGGTGCACCATGTCTCATTATAACCCCAAAAGCTTGCCTCCAACTTCTAAATAGCGGAAACTTTTGGGAACAGTTCTGAAAAACAAGCAAAAACTTGCACTAAATTATAAAACAAAACAGTTGTCACTAGTGCTGGATGCTCCCAGCGTCTGATGGGGTTCAAAGAGTTAACATAAACATCCAAACAGGTCAGCAGCCAAGAATGGTGGAAGATTTTGCTGTCAAAACACACGACACAGGCTGCTACTGTGAAGGCCCTACTGCACAGATCTGTCACTCATCCAAGCACACACAAAGACACTTCAGTCAATAGCACAGGCCTGGGGTCTGCCCTACTGCACTGATCCGTCTCTCCTCATCCAAACACACAAAGACAAATCTGGAATGAATGTGTACACACTGTCTCCTGAATTTGAACATACATCAAACCATAATCATGTAGAAAAGCCACCAGATCCTGAGATTATAAAAATAACTACAGCATAGACTAGGAAGACTTCCACTGGAATATACAGACGGGCATCAGGAACCTGGTGAGAAGGGAGACGACTAGGTCACAACGCGTTTTTTCCACAACCCAGCACCGTCGCACATTGAGAGAAAGTAACATCAACGATGTTGGAAGTAAACTGACCACGTTTGAGATTTGTTCCAGGTTTGAGATATAATCATAGAACACAATTCTGTACTTTACAGGAACATTTAGATAAAATGAAAGAGCCAAAACAGCAGCTCTAAAAACAGTTCCAAAAGTAAAGATACAAAATTCCAGTTATCTTCTACCTCCTAAGAAATATAAATGTTGGTCACTCGTCAACCAAAACCATTGATATTGGACATTGCATTCAGTTAGTCAAAAATGACGTAACTGCACTGGAATCTAAAATGCATGTACCTTGTTTTAAATTTTAAATTTTAAAAAAGAGAATGATATGAGATCCTAGCTAAGAGTCTGTCGTTAAGGATTCTCATACAACTTCCTGAGGGTTGCGTCCATGGCGTGATCGACGGCTCGGTCTATGGGCTTGATGATGAACGGGATACAGCCGAGGCCGATGGCGACCACGCTCCAGTTCCGCACGGGGGCCAGGAGACTTGCCACGCGGGACAGGACATGGCGCGACGCCCAGCAGATGCGGTTGATGGTGAAACCTGGCACAGCAACAGACGCAAAACCTTGCCAGACCAGAGTGTCTCCCGTGGCAATGCCCACTCGCTTGCATTTGTACGACCAGTCGGCAGAATCAGAGACTTTCTAGTGAAGCAAAGACCATGAAAAAAAAATTATGACAGCTATTACTTTTCTGAACTTCGACCTTACTGCTTAATAATAGCATATAAGCAAACTCTGTAACTTTCATGACAACAACAAAAATAAAACTTAGAGTTTCCAGTCATGTACTTTCAATAAGTACATTGATATCCGAAGGGTTTGAGGTTAATAATAGTAGATAATAGATAGCATTTGTATAGAGCACAAATCCCTGCTCAACAGCAAGCTCTATGCGCTTCACAATCTATACTATTACCCCAGCAGACCTGAGGGCATTCAGAAACAGCCTCAACTTCCTGGAAGCATACAGTGCAAGCAGTAGTGGAGAGCAAAGAATCGGTTCCAGAACCGATCCCCACAATTATTGCTACTAAGAAAAAGAACCGATCCCTTTTTCCGTAAACTAACGATTCTCAATAGCTCTATTTTTATCTTCTTTTGCTTTGCTATGTTCTGAAATCGAGGTTATCCTGAATCTTGAAGACTTAAGAAAGAGTAGTCGGGATGCAAAGTCATTGTCAAAGATTCTATCGATCTTACACACAGTGTCAAAACGTATTCGTTGCTTTTGCCTTTCTCTCATCCATATGTTGTTTTTATATCCCCTCTTCAATCAATTCAATATCTAAAACTGTAACGTCTGCCCACGAGGCTCTATATTATAGACTCTCATTTCTCGGTGTAGGTCAGTGTTGGTCTCTGACTTCACAGTGTAGAGATGGGTGGGGTAGTGCCTGGGGTAGCGCCCTCCCACCCCAAGTAATCAAAGGGATCGGACTACTAGTTACTCGCCGGAGGTAATTGCAGGGGTCGGACTAACTGCTAATTGCTGTATATATTATCATGATACAGGCTAGGGGTCAAATCCACTGGAAGAAATCATAGAGCCTCTGGAAAAAATCACATTACTGGCTATAATGAAAGTAATTGGGTTTGGAACGGATTCCTACGATTCCTAGCTTTAAAATAATCGGGAATCTTCGTTTACAAAAAAAAATCCCGGAATCGCACACCTCTAGCAAACAGCCATTTATACGCGCTAAAACACAAACATACTGACAAGATCTTTCGCTGTCTATGGCCCGGAACCTATTCCCACCTGGGTGAACTAAGGAAAAATTTGTGTAAAGTGCCTTTCCCAAGGACACAACGTCGGGCCCGCGGCTCAAACCCCGGAACAAGCAACCTCACGACTACGAGTCCATGAAATGTGTACAAAAATGTCGTACCTGGGACATCTTGTAGCCCTTGTCCACCGAGTCCGCTGCGACATAGGTACTGGCCACCACATAGCTCAGCCTCACCAGGCTCACAGGGACCAACACTCGAAAAGCTTCACCCACTTCATTTGCATATCCTGGAATGGAAAAGAAACATATTTCCGGTTGTATCTTTTTATATTTTAGTTTTAGTAAGAGTTTTTATGGCACTGCTAGTTAGACCTACAAGTAGAATTGAGTCATTCAAGTCATGGTAAATTAAACAAAGAAAGACAGACTACCCAGACGTGTCAACTGATTATGTCAGTTAGCTTCAGTACTATTATTATTATGTAATGCTGATACTACTGGACTCGGGACCTTCCCTAAGCTCAAAGACTCTCCGTTTATTATAGATCTAGCTTTCATACCGTTCAACAAAAAACACTAGATTACTATTCCGAAGTGGCTAGCCGTCCTTAAGTACAGCTAGCCTAGTCGTCTAGCCGAAGGCTTACCTATTACCTATGAAGTACGGCCAGCCTGCCAGTCTAGCCATACTTATTTTAGGCCCTAGATCTAGATCTATATAAAGTGTATGGCTCTAGCCTCTTCTAGATTGTAGACAGAGTCTAATAAAAACTTTTTTAAATGTTCACAAACTTCGTAAACTTTTTTATTCTTTTAGTTGATTTAAATTTAGCCTGGATTCTGGATCTTACAATTGTAAATTGTAAGTTACAATATAGAATATATAATAATAAATAGCCTAATAATTATTAGTACATACCTAGATATCGCAGGAGAGAATCTTTAAATACGTCGTATTCTCTTGCCTTCTTTTCGGAGTTTCCTGTTTTACTCTCCATTTTTCTGTCCAACAAAGTAAAAACTTTGAAAAACGCGTTTTTGCGTTCTTAGGCCGACTTATTTGACCTTTCTAGGGTGCAACATTGTCTTCGCCTTTCAGGAGAAAGCGAAAGTTGACAAGAAGCTGTTGACACAACAGTTGCACAGAGTGAAGTCCCTTGATCCACCCATAGACTTACACTATTATGTAGACCTGCTGGGTAAAATTGCAGGCTGACAGTTTCGGGCACATCCGGAAGTAGCTGGTGGCTGGCAGAAATAACGGGTTTTACTATCATTTACATACGTCCGAGGGATAGTTGCTTTTTTGAGGTGCCTCAAATCGTTCTTAAAAAATAAAAACTATAATCGCTTTATAAACATTTTCAAAATCTAGAAAAGAAAAGAAAATCGAAATCACGACGGTACCTTCCTCAGTTGAAATGGAAAATTAAGATCTTTATACTGACAATTATTGAAGACTAAACAAGGACCTGCATGCTTGGTACAATGACATGATATCTATCACACAGTCGCCGATCGGCGTCGCGTGGGGGGGGGGTCAAAGATAAAAAGATGAAAAGTAAGCCTCATGTGCCATACTCATGTACACTACTATAATAAATAGGGATAAGTCTATGGTCAAGCTATACTCTGAATGTTTTAGGTATGAATGGCGTTGTGAGAACTCTTGATGATCAGCTAGACTTGACAGTAATTTCCTAGGACGTGTATTTAATCTGTTCTGTTTCAAGGAAACAATGGATCGATGCTGTTGTTTCTGATATCCGAATATAAGACAGGTTTACTGGTCTCACTAACAAAGAACATTGTAAAATAAGCCAGTATAGCCGGGAGAGCAGTGTGTGTGTGTGTGTGTGTGTGTGTGTGTGTGTGTGTGTGTGTGTGTGTGTGTGTGTGTGTGTGTGTGTTTGTGCCATTGTGTATCGCACTTTTCTACAGTTATCTGGCTTCAGCCCGGAACCCCCTGTCTAGAGCATGTGTGCAGTATCATCATGTATACACGGTCTTTGGTATCAAGACAGTCGCAGCGAGGGGCTCGTACCAAGAGACATTGGCAGCGGGATGTCAGGCCACATACATTTATAATAATTAATAATAATAATAATAATAATATATATCATTTGTCTAGCGCAAATCCCCGCTCAACAGCAAGCTCTATGCACTTCACAATCTATACTATTACCCCAGCAGACCTGAGAGCTTTCTGAAAACAGCTCAACTTCCTGGGAAGCATACTGTGCAAGCAGCCATTTATATGCGCTAAAACACCAACATACTGACACGATCTTTCGCTGTCTATGGCCGGGTACCCATTCCCACCTGGGTGAAGTGAGGAAAATTCGTGTAAAGTGCCTTTCCCAAAGACACAACGTCGGGCCCGCGGCTCGAAGTCCCGACCCCGCAACCTCACGATTACGACTCCAGTAGCCTATCTTAGATAAGATAAGATAAGATAAGATAAGATAAGATAAGATAAGATAAGATAAGATAAGATAAGATAAGATAAGATAAGATGAGATAAGATAAGATAAGATGATAAGCTGATAAGATACATCTTTATTGTCCAGATCCTGGCACATTGGTTTTGTGTTTCACCAAGTGCACACACACACACACACACACACACACACACACACACACACACACACACACACACACACACACACACCACATACACACACACACACGCGCGCGAGCGCGAGCGCGCGCGCACACACACATGCACACACACATGCACACACACATGCACACACACAGGCTTACAATCACATGCATAATATAAATGAGCAGCAATATAAACAATAATAGGCTAATATCTTATTAAGCTAGATACATACTCAATGTTATTCTGATGCATGTTTTAAGGTCATTTGAATACTTGTACAAGATGGTTAAGATGGAAGAACTTTGATGGATGATGGTAAAAATTAGGGCTGGATTCTGCTCGGTTAATCGAAGGCTTGTAAAGCAGCGGAAGTCTTGCGCTAGAGTCTTGCGAGCAGGCTTGTGGTTTGATTTGCCTCCCGCTTGCTACCGGAGGGAACTTCCGGTGAGTTGTGACTCGCGGACAGTCCTGCTGTACTGTGTCGTGACGTCGCGAACTCTCGTGGCAGTGGGCTCAGTACATATTATAGATTCTCTGGTTATTTGCGCTGAGAGGCTTGCACCAAAAGTGCAAGATCGGTTGAGTTTTTTTTCATAGTTCGGTTGTAAAAAACAAAAAGCTCTATTCAATGTACTTAAAAATTAATATTGGATCGGCTATTCTTATGATATTAAGGCCTGTTTATTTTTAATGTGCACGAGCCAAGCGCTTCATCGTCGCACGCAAAAGACCTCAGTTCGATTCCCGTATGGGGAGAAATTTTTACTGAGAACCTCCGTCTTTCTGCTGGGGCGTTGTTCCCTCTCAGCCCAGGTTGGCCCTGACATTGGGTTGAAGTAGGCCTAGCCCGTCTCCTAAATGTTCTGTATTATGTCACTGTGAGTGTAACACATCTACAAAATAGGTTACATACATACGATACAAAAGCCAGTCACAACGACCCCTGGAGTTCTCCATTCTAGGGTAATCTAAGTCAACTTATTCTTATTACTACCAGAAACCTAGGTCTCTGTTACTACAATACCACGCTCCCTCTCACTTATCCATTCGCTTAGCTGATCAACGGCGGGAAGTTAAAAATAACTTCAGCTCTCTACGCCTTGCACCAAAACAAGCCCAGCCTCTCCCTTCCTCCACGGTTCAAAGTTCACACAGCGCACAGTACTGTCTTGCTGTTTAAACACATCGGACTATCTTGTCGCCATCAAGACGGTCCTACGCCATCGAGCCCGTGCCGCTCGCTCGGTGTATCGAGACAGTACAAGTCAGCAGGTCACGTTTGGAGCTTGTCCTGGGGCAAATCTGTAAGCCTAGCGCAAATCAGTACTGTGTGAATTGTGGGGCCTGTTGCAGCGGACGGGACTTGCGGCTTGCGCAGGCCTCGATTAATCGAGTAAACTACAGCGCCACGCCGCGCAGTGACTCTGTGGGCGAGATCTCTCACTCTCCCCCTCTCTCTTTTTCTGACGTAAGTGGCTTCGCGGATTGCAAGCAGGGTGGGGATGATGAGGGGGCCTGACACGAGTGGCTTCGCGGATTGCTAGTTGCTGTGGACTTGAAGTTTAGACTAGACAAAGGAGGTTACAGTTTGCGCTAGACTCAACTTATCATGCTGGTGATTTGATTTGATGATTTGACCTACTGATTTGAGGCTTGTGACTTGAACTAGGGGCTTGTGAGCACGAGCGGGTTTGCTACCGGGGTACAGCCCTAGTAAAAATGACCTTCTCTACCGTGCCCATAAAAGAGGTGCAGCAGAGTCTTGCTGTCTTTTCTGTAAGACTAAACGTGCACCATTGTTTTGGGGCAGTTTGGAGTTTGTTCATTTTCCCCTAAGATATTACTAAAAAGTTACGATATTCAAGTCTTGATAAAACTCATCATCATCATCCAGTTCCAGATCTGCGACAGACATCGGCGATCATAGTTTTCCATTCATTCCTTTGCTCTGATGCTCTAATAAAAAAAAAACTACGTTTCCCTGATCTTTCCCTGTTACCCATTTGTTTAGGTTCCCTAATTAAGTATGTTGTTCTGGGCCTACCCCTGCCCTGCCTCGCTTGCCCTCAATTTTGCCAGTGAGAGCTAGATGTTCAAGACCCTTATGTCTATTCAGGAGTCCCAACAACTGCATTTGTCGTTTCCTGATTGTTTTTAACATTGAGAGTCCCACGTGGGCTTCATCAAGCCCTACCTCATTTGATCTCTTTTCCTTCCACGATAATCTTAGCAGTCTCCTAAGAAACCAAATTTCTGTTGCTTCTATTTTATTCTCACTGTCTTTAGTGATTGTCCAGCATTCACAGCCATATAGAAGGGTTGATAAAACTATAGGGCCTAATTATAAGCTATTATACTAATACAACAATATCTTAGTAGGCTGCTGATTAGATGACGTATTTTATTGATTTTTTCTTATTTCTAAATACTACATGCAACTGACCAGATGATTCACCTCAGCCGACAATTAACAAGTTAAATTTGGAACCAAAATGCCAAGACAGATTTTTCACTTTTCTTGAAAATACTATTTCTGCATCAATTAATAGCAGATTATTCTTATATCGTGATTTTTCTTTCGTCTAAATGAACAAAAAGCTATAAAAGGAAGGATGCCTCCTCCTTTTTAAAATGAATACTTAAATAGATAAATAGATAAATAAATAAATAAATAAATAAATAATAAATAAATAAATAAATAAATGAATAAATAAATAAATAAATGAATAAATAAATTGAGGTCAAAATAAAATTGCGATACTTTTTTTGGGGGGGTTTATATGGCGATCAAAAAAATCTACGTGGTTGTCATTTTCAGGACCGGAAGTGTGATCAAGCTGCTATTCCATTCCTTTAAAAAACGATATTATATGATTAGACGTCGATACTATTTATAAAAATTGTGGTTTCTCCTTGTACACTTCGTTTTTTCCCCTAAAAAGGCATTAGAATAGAAGCATATACATTTCTAAATAGCTTTCAATGCATTTACCGTTTTGAAAGCTATTTTTTTATTGTTTAAATTCACCTCAGTATGTCGATATTTTTGTACGACTACTTGCTTACCGTTGTATTCGAGTACGTTCGTAAAATTTGCCTGGCTTCATAGCGGGAAAGAAATAAGCTATCACAGCAATCGGAAACAATCAACATCAATAATGGGTGATGAGAAGGTAAATAACTTTTTGTTTATTGTCATTTGTCTTAATACTTAATATCCTGTCGTTATTTACCTTGTATATCCCCTGTTTCTCTGGTTTCCACCTGAAGAATCAGTGTTGTTATTGTGCACTGAAATCACCTTTCCTGGAACAATGACTACTCAATATCCAGACTCATTTGCACAGAATCCCATTGTATAATGTTGGTCTGGCTAGATCTATCTCCGTATCTCATATTTGAAGGAAAAACAAGTCATGATCTCCGCCTTGCCTTGGAAGGTTAAGCGTAGGGTTAAGTTAAGATGAAAATAAAGGTGATACACTTCTTGCAATCAGTGGTGATCATGATGATGGCAATGATGGGTTTGAGTTTGAGGGGGGGGGGGGGTGGGGAGTTGTTGGCCCACTGTCTGTACTGTTAACTTTTGTCCTGCGTCTGTGTTGAGAGGCAAATCTTATCAGCAAGCGGTTACGTCCGTCATTCCGGGCAGGCCGCCGGGGTCACTCAGCGCGTACAGCGAGCTCACCTTGAAACGTGTTTTCGCCATGAATACCGTGGGAGTGTGTTATTCGATGATGAAAATAACGAATCTAGATCTATCATTTATAATAGCTTTCTATTTATAAAGGGGAGTGTATACAGACCCGGTAACCGGGAACAAAGTCACAAAGTAGTATACAGACCCGGTAGGGGAACTCGAGAGGACTTCCATAACGAGCGACCACTTTTACTCTTGAGTGAGTATGTATGATGAGACAGAGTAAAATTGAGGGGTAGGGTTTGGGTTAGGCCTCTTCTTTATTGTTTTTTGGGGTGGTCGCTCGTTATGGAAGTCCTTCCGGGAACTTTTTTGTGATTTCGGAAAGTTTCAGCGCCCTCTTGGCTCAGGGTAGACCCAGATCTAGGTTCTTCTAGATTCTAGATCTAGAGTCTAGACAGACAGACATAAATCATTGATCTAATTTCGAGGTTAGCCTAGAATCTAGATCTAGGTCTAGATTAGATCTAATCTAAATGAAGATTGGGGATGTCTTTTTGATGAATGATCATTTTTCTTCCGTTTTTGGAGTTGGAGAAATCACAATTTGAAGAAAACAGTGCTTCCACTCTTCCGTATTTTTACGGAAATCCGTACTTTCTGCCAGTTCCGTACTTGTTCCTCCTTCATCATCAACTCCCTCCGTAAAAAAAAAAACTGCGACAGCGCAGGAATGCCGAAATTCCGTACTCGCCTTCCTATCGTCTTGCAGTTACGGATATTTACGGTAATTCGGCAACAAGTTAAAGTTATTGAAACCTGCCAGATTGCGCTTTTCTGCAATCGGCCATTACACCGCTATGTCCCTTGAATTCATCGCGTGTTGGTCGGCAGTACATTTTTTACCTGCAGATGGATCAAAATCTGGCGAACCTTTTGTGCAAATTTCTTCCTTTCTGTCATTCACTCATTCCTTCTGTCTATCTTCGGATTGTTGCCGCGGTTGGAAATTCTGCGCGTTGATCAAGTAAAATGACTTGTGATCTTAGACAAAAAAATTACTGTCAGAAAGAAACTTTTTTAGCAAATTTATCTAGATCTAGAGAAATTATCAATGCGAAGATTCTACGGCACGTGAACGCAATAAGGGCAGCGATGAAAGAAATTATAATAATAATATGCTGGGTTGCGGGTGCCCACTTCGAGACTACGGATGGGATCGGCCGTTCGCGCCGATAGCCCGACTCGGTCGCCTCAAAAACAAACGTGTTTGTTTTCAGTTTCAGGCGATCGGCCCGATCCAACCGTAGGTAAAATAAAAAATAATTCGCAGTGGTGTTCTGAGGTTGTGACAGGCGACATTCAGACGTGAAAATTGAGAAAAAATGTGGGTATACGCTGCGCAACTGTATTGTGATGGTACATCTATTTATTATTCCCAGGTTTGCCTGCTATCAATGGTGGACGTCAAATTAATTAACTGAATTATAGTTATAGTTGCAATGAAAGGGGAACCTGCTTTTAAACATTGCCAGCAATGGAAAGATATGTTGGTGAAGAAATCAAACAAGACAAAATGTTGGTGAAAAAACAAATGTTATGGGCTCTAGTCTAGGCAATCTCTTCAAACAGGCTCCCAAATGCCATTTTCAACCCTCTAAAAGCAGTAAATTTCCATTTCCCCTGAACCCCCGGCAGAATTTTCCTTACTTTTCAGCTTCAGCTGGTGGAAGCACTGAGAAAAGAACGTCATAATTTCAATGGAGCAGTCACCCTCTCTATTTCTCTGTGTCTCTCTTCTCTCTCTCTGTCTCTCTCCTCTCTCTCTCTCTCTCTCTCTCTCTCTCTCTCTCTCTCTCTCTCTCTCTCTCTCTCTCTCTCTCTCTCTCTCTCTCTCTCTCTCTCTCTCTCTCTCTCTCTCTCTCTCTCTCTCTCTCATCAAGCTCATTTGAAAGATTTTGTAGGCCTAACGCACACAAACTGAAGCAGATTGAGTATCATTGAGGCACACACACTTGAGCTGCACACAAACTGAAGCAGATTGAGTATCATTGAGGCACACACACTTGAGCTGCGTACAAACTGAAGCAGATTGAGTATCATTGAGGCACACACACTTGAGCTGCGTACAAACTGAAGCAGATTGAGTATCATTGAGGCACACACACTTGAGCTGCGTACAAACTGAAGCAGATTGAGTATCATTGAGGCACACACACTTGAGCTGCGTACAAACTGAAGCAGATTGAGTATCATTGAGGCACACACACTTGAGCTGCGTGAATGCGGGTCCGACACGGGACCCAATTGAAACGGAGAGAATGCTCAACGCGCGTGCGCTGGGCCAGGGGCCGTACTGACACGCGACCGGAACGAAGGCGAGGTGTCGAAATAGGCTTATCAGGCGACATACCTCCGCAGAACTCCTCCCGTGTTAGAGTTATAGAGGTTCGCTTTGGGGGAAAAAATATATCATGTGTGTGTGCAGGTCTGAGTGGTGTGGTGTGCATTGTCATGTCGTGGGTGCCAGAGATAACCAGCAGTGGCTGCACCATGGATGTTGACTATGAGACGTTGTTTCTTGTCACAATGCTGGATTATAGGGCTATAGAGGCCTCCTATTCACCTCTGGATTGAAGCTGAAACTGAAACAGTCCTACCAGTCATCATCAGCCATTAGCGCTGTGGCTGGTGGAAGTAAAGTGAAAGAATGATTGAATGTGTCAGCTGTTGAACCAAGGCATGTGACGAGGAGAAAGTGATTAGGCCAAGATCTACTGTACTTAAATAGTTATATAATATAATGACTAATCAAAGTATGCATAATAACCCTTGCTTGACCTGCTGGGCAGCGCAGAGCTTACCAGACCTGACATGATATGAAGTTATATATATTCCCTGTAAGTGTGCATGAAGTTTGTACTATCTGTTGATATTTTATTGTCTTGACTTTAAGACCATACACCAGCCCCTTGCTTCAATCTAACTGCACAAAGTATGGTAAAGCAGATGAGAAAACTTAATTGCCCTGAGCTCAAGGTTTTATCATCATGAATTTCTATTTTTAGACGGGTTTGGTAAATCTTTACTTTCACTCCCACTTTCAGATGCACTTGTTTTAAGGGTTGAAATCGCTGTATTTTTGGCTGTAGAATACATGTAACGGTAAAATGAAAGTCACTGAAACCACACCCTCAGATCAATTAGTTTTTTAAAAGATTTCAAACCTTTACAAAATATCCAATTGTGGTGTACCGGAAATGGGGGGTGGGGGGGGTTAAACTTTTTTTCCCTAGCAAACTTCCTGTCCTTTGCCTTTGAAAAGAAATGATTGAAAACATCTCGTGCAGTACATGCTTGATTTGACACAATAGCGCAGGTCTTGATTTGACACAACAGTATACGAGTCTTGATTCGACACGACAGTATGAATCTTGATTTGACACAACAGTATATGAGTCTTGATTTGACACGACAGTAATGAGTGATGTTGGTTTTGCTCCAACAGGAAACCGAGGTTGCCCCTGAGTCTCCAGACGTCCACTTTGAGCCCATCGTCAAGTTGTCTCTGGTGGAGGCAAAGACCATGGAGGAGGACGAGGACGTCGTGGTTTGCCTGTGAGAATCTCCTCACGTCCCCATTCCTGTGTGGTTGTCGCTTCCCTCTGTGGTTTTGATATCTGTTCTACTCTAAGGTATCGAAACAGGGGGGGGGGGGGAACAAGTTGTCCAAAATTAATAAACGGGGAGGGGGGACAAATTCAACATCATACCCCTGTACTAGTATGAACAAATCTGTTTTATTTCTCCTTCAGTGAATGAAAGAACAAGTGATCATGAAATTTTAGTGATTTTGGTAAGGTTACTGTGACAACTTTTCCCATTTAGGAACAAAGCAGTTTCATGAAACCTATAAACCAATGCACAAAAGTGTTTAAAGTGCACGGGAAAATTGAGGTGGCCGACCCGGTACCGGTGCTAGTACTCAGGGTCATTTGACATTTGCAATAAAAGAAGTTTCATTCAGATATCTAGATTCTAGGTATAATGTTTCACATGATGGTCGGTCGTGGCAAGCTGGAAAATAATGAACGGGGGTTCGGAGGGGGGGGGTATGGAATAAAGAGCAGGGGTTGCGCAAAAAAACTGAAAATAATAAGGGAGGGGGAACGCTTGTTCGATACCTTAGAGTGAGTTTCCTGTTACTTTGTGAATTGACAGCTTGTGTCTGTGAGGTTTTGATGTGGGCTGTTGTTCTTGACAGTTTTTTTTGAGTTGTAGTAATTGTCGGCTGTCACGATTACATCCAATTATCAATGTAGTTTTCCTCTACCTTCATTTTGTGGGTAAATGCTGGGTGATTTTGTATGTGGACCCTTTTTCTCATTTTGTTTGCTTGTTGGTAATTATGCTAATATTGAGTTAGCGGTTGGTGGGTGCTCTGGTGTGGTTTGCTCCTTCTTTTCTATCAAACATTTATCGTCTTTATCTCTCAACCTTTTTTGTGTTTGTTACTCCCTTGTAACACCTCTAATCTTCAGCACTTATATGACCTTATTGTGTTGCAAGTGCCGTAAAACTCTTACTAAAACTAAAAAATGCTAATATTTTTTTCCCATATTGTCTACAGTCGAGCCAAACTTTTTCGGTATGACCACGAAGCTGACCCCAAAGAGTGGAAGGAGAGGGGGACTGGAGAGTGCAAGATTCTCAAACACAAACAGACGGGCCTGCGGAGAGTGCTCATGCGCAGAGACAAGACGCTCAAAATCTGTGCCAATCATTACAGTGAGTCGGCTTTTTTTTTTTACCTGATTGTCCTGTGGTGGTTTATGTGGTTTTTTTCCTTTCTTGTTATGCCCCCCCCCCCACCTAGGTCCCAGGTGTTTTCTGTCACCACTCAGGGCTATGTATTTTACTCCTCATGGCCATAATAATAATAAAAAATAGCGTCTTAATTATTTGTGTGGTCGATGTAGCAGGGATTTGTTTGGTCTACAAAGGGTCCAGTTATTGAGTTGAGACATCTGTCGTCCTTATCTCACCTCTTTCTTTTTTGTGTTCGTTACTCTCTTGTAACACATTATCTATTCTTCGACACTTATATGACCTTATTGTGTTGCTACTGCACAAAGGGGGGACATTTCTCGTTCAAGCACAGTAGAATTGTAAATGGGCTGATTCATGTCACGATCATAACTGTGCCTGATCTACAACAGGGAACTGCTGCTTTTTCTTTCCGAATCCTTACTATTGTCATTTTCCTCTACTTCTGTTGTATGTTTGTCACTCTCTTGTGACCTGCTATTTTGGGGTGCCTTGATAGTTGAAGCAGACCTTGTGCTGTTGAAGCTAGAGAGGTGAGCAGTCTTAAGTCTGATTCCCTGTAAAGACTTCTCTGTTGACACCCACCCCTATGCAGTTGCGAACGCCGTAAAACCCTCTACTATAATAAATAATAATAAACCCTCTACTATAAAAAAACCCCCCAAAAACTCTTACTAAAACTGAGTTGAGACATTCTCTAGTTTTGTTGAAGTCATAAGGTTGACTACTGGTATGTACTGTGAAGTTTTCTCAAATACAAAAAAAAAGAAAGATTACAGCAATTGTGATGACAGTGGTGCCACATGGCATGTGTACATGAGTGTAGCGTCCTGTTGTTGGTAGAGAACTCAGGATTAGTGGTGCATGGAACACCTGGAATGTTGGACACAGATATATAGTGACCGAACTGTGTTGTGGTTTCTGTAACACTCTTAAACTGTAGAGTGTGGGTGGTTGGACACCGATATATAGTGACCGAACTGTGTTGTGTTTTCTGTAACACTCTTAAACTATAGAGTCTGGGTGGTTGGACACCGATATATAGTGACCGAACTGTGTTGTGTTTTCTGTAACACTCTTAAACTATAGAGTCTGGGTGGTTGGACACTGATATATAGTGACCGAACTGTGTTGTGGTTTTTGTAAAACTCTTAAACTATAGAGTGTGGGTGGTTGGACACTGATATATAGTGACCGAACTGTGTTGTGGTTTTTGTAAAACTCTTAAACTATAGAGTGTGGGTGGTTGGCTGGTGCTCTGGTGTGGTTTGTTTCTTCTTCCTATCAAACATCTATCGTCATTATCTCCCCTCCTTCTTTTTTGTGTTTGTTACTCTCTTGTAACACCTCTAATCTTCTGGCGCTCATATGCCTTATGCAGTTGCGAGCACCGTAATACCTCTACTAAAACTTTTTAAAAACCTCTTATTTAAAGTATATAGTGTGATATTAGCGTTGTTTCCATGTGTATTGTGAAAGTTACAGTAACCATTGCCTCCCCTGTTTCAGTCTACCCGTCCATGGAGCTGAAGCCCAACTGTGGGAGTGAGCGAGCCTGGGTGTGGTCGACCACGGCCGACTTTGCTGATGAAGAGGCCAAGGAAGAGGTCCTGGCCATCAGATTTGCCAATGCTGAAAGTAAGTTATCTTCCACATTTTGTATAATTTTTAAAAAAATCTGTGGCAGCGTGGTGAAATCAGGCGCTCGTCAAAATAATCAAAATGAGAAGTTGTCATTTCCCAGCAGGTTTGTTGAATAATATGTAGAGAAGTTGTCATTTCCCAGCAGGTTTGTTGAATAATATGTAGAGAAGTTGTCATTTCCCAGCAGGTTTGTTGAATAATATGTAGATATTCTGTTTTTGAGGTGTGGAGGAAACAGTGGGCCCTGTTTAGTTGTGAGAGAGGAAACAGTGTTTTGTTTTTGGGAGTAACGATAATGTGTTCATGCAGTTGTTTTTATATGTGGTGTTGTGTTTTCTTCGGCAACTTGTAAGATGTGACCTTATCTCTCCATTTTGCCTAACATGCCATTAGTTACCCCACTGGTATAACTGGGATAAAGCGGTCTTTCTCTATCTTATTCAAACCTGACTTTTTTGCTGCATAACGTGAATTTCATTTCAGCGCTTTTTGTTTTCAGATGCTCAGAAATTTAAGGCTGCTTTTGACGAATCGGCCGAGGAAATGAGGAAGATGTTGAAGACAAGAGAAATCATGGAGAGTACGTATTGTTCACGTTGTCCTTGTGTTATGTTTGTTGTCTTTGTTGTTGAGGGGGCAGATGTTGTATGTTTTGATTTGATTCTTTTTGTTTTTGTTAAACATTGTTGAAACTGAAGACCCTACTACGTGAGTGGTTGGGATACTAAAAGGATGTGCTGGGTACACGTGGATGGATGGACTCACTCATTGTTCATTGTGCCGCTCCCTGGGGTTATATTTCAGTTGCTGTTACTCTGTTTATGTTATTTTTTTCTTTTTACTTAATGTGAAAATGTAAAATTTTTATGAAAACTTTTACTTAAGTTGAATTCAAGAATTGTTTCTTTTCATTTGTAAAATGTTGATTGGTCCACTATGAAATGGTGAGTGGGCTGGGGATGGGACTAGTGTGCTGGCCTGCTGACAGGCTTCTTCTTTTTTTGTTAGTCAACTTGTAGCCCCCTCAGAGAGTGTTCCTGTCTAGTAGGGTGTTGTACTAGTCCACTTGTAGCCCCCTCAGAGAGTGTTCCTGTCTAGTAGGGTGTTGACTCCCTCAGAGAGTGTTCCTGTCTAGTAGGGTGTTGACTCCCTCAGAGAGTGTTCCTGTCTAGTAGGGTGTTGTACTAGTCAACTTGTAGCCCCCTCAGAGAGTGTTCCTGTCTAGTAGGGTGTTGAGTCCCTCAGAGAGTGTTCCTGTCTAGTAGGGTGTTGAGTCCACTTGTAGCTCCCTCAGAGAGTGTTCCTGTCTAGTAGGGTGTTGTACTAGTCCACTTGTAGCCCGCTCAGAGAGTGTTCCTGTCTAGTAGGGTGTTGTACTAGTCAACTTGTAGCTCCCTCAGAGAGTGTTCCAGTCTAGTAGGGTGTTGACTCCCTCAGAGAGTGTTCCTGTCTAGTAGG